AATTGATCAGAATAACGGTACAAAGCATTCGGAATAAAATCCAGTGAGATTCTTCAAAATGTCAAAATTAATTTTAAAAAATAATGATATAAGAATTTTTTTATATAATATATATTATTAAATAAATAAATAAATTTAATATTATAAATTTTAAATAAATAAATAATTATTTATTTAAATAATATGTAAAATTATATAAAATATTTATTTTTAAATCATTTTTCTTTAAAAAAAAAAAGGAACATTAAAAGAATAATGAAATATCCGTTACACTGTAAAGAATTGATCCTCTGGACCTTAATTTTTCCATCTCAACTGAAAATAACAGCGCCAAAAAATACAAATAAAATAAATAAAATAAATATTTATTAATTTTAACATGTACTCTACAATGAAACTTCCTACTTTGTGATTAACTTGGTGATTATTTAATTTATAAGGAAATTAAAGCACGAGAAATATCTTCTTTATTTACTTATTTTTTATTTTGACAAAATGCCAAATTAACAAAGCAAACTGACAGTAACCTGCCGAACGATTCTATTCGTTTCCTCTTCCACGGGACATCGAATTGTTTTTCCCTATGTTTCCACGTGCGTTTCGTCCTAGTACTCTCCCTTTGGCAAAATCCTTTATTCGTAGCACTATATTTTTTAGAATATAAAACTTGTGAGTCTTGTTAGATCTCAAAAATTGCTTGGTCCCTGAATTTGTAAGAAAAAGAAAAGAACATTTTTCTTTTTTAAGGTTAGTAAGATATCGATTTATCGTGATTATTTATCATTTGATTTGAAATTTTCTTATTCTCTTATTGTCAAATCAAAATTTTTACTACTACCAAAAATGTCAATTGACTCAATTGGCTCCATAACCTTGCTTTTACTTTGTCACTTAGAGGTTTTAAACTTTAAACCCATGAACTTAGATCATCCTCTCAGTCAAAGATAAAGACATGCTTATGGCTTGGTTGAAGGATACAAATTGGGATTCTTGGTAAGTTTATTAGCAATCAACTAATTATAGATTAGTATTTTTTGTATTTTAAAATAAGAGTTTGAAAAAAATTTAAAAAAAAATCATAATTTTTAAACTAGCTAATGAACTCAAAAAAAAAAAAATTATAAGGTCAAGTGAATAAAATGTCCATCAAAGCTTTTATCGTTTTGTCAATTTTTGAGAGCCATGGCCCCTCCTCGCGTTCATTATCTCCTGTCCTTACTCTAGGGAAGCAACATTTTCACTTGTAAAGGTGATCATCTATTGGTTAATGTTATTTGACTTTCATATTATTATTTATTAATTTTAAGAAAACCAAATTACCCTCTCTAAGAAAACAATTATTAAAAAAGGATAATTTTATTACTAAATCCAAAGACCAGATAAAATGAAGAGGAGGACACAACCATTTAGTCCCACCCATCTCCAAACAAACCAAATCAGACACCTTTAACACAACCAAACAGACCCTAAGGAAAGCACAGTACAAAAAAAATAAAACCAAACCCAAACAAACGGGACCTTAATATAGCAGTTCACATCACCCCTCCGCCCCACAGTGCTTTATCCCATGTATAAAGCAAGAGCCGAACAGGGTGCTAGTGACAGTCTGACACAACCTTTATTTTATTTTATTTTTATTTTTATTTTTATTTTACTTTATTATGTTGCACAAGGCCGCAGGTGATCACGGCGACTGAAATTACTAAATTGCCAGGACAAGGCCGGGAACAGATTTTCCGACCAAGCTGCTCTCCCAGATGGAAGGGCAATGCACGGGAGTAATCTCAGACGTGGATGATGCCGGTTTTTTATAAGCGGACGGTGAAGATTGATTCGGGTTGCCGAGGCGAGTAACCGTGAGAGAAGTGTTGAAGTACTCCCTCACCTGAGTAATTATCCCATCCGTAACAGTCCAGGCGTGAACCCAGGAAATGGAGCGGGCCGAGTCGCAGCCCTCGGCGATGACGGTGGAACCAAAGGTAGTGAAAGACAGAGGGTTGAAGTGGAAGGATTGGTCTGATGAGGCTCCAGTGAGAAGGCGCATCATAAACTGGTGCGACGGCGGGCCATGGAACCACCACTCTAGGTCGGAAGCTAGAATCTGGTGAACCTTGTCCACGTCTCGAGCCTTTAAGGCGTCATAAAAGGCGAGAACCACCTCTTGGTTCTTCTTGTTTTCCTCCAGAATTGGTTCCTGTGTGTTAGCCAGATCTTGCAAAAAAAGAAAACAACAGTAAGAGCAAGAAAGCAGAGATAGGAAAAATAAGAACTGGGGATGGATTCAAGTGGGGGAGATTTTCTGAAATAAAGACGACTGTAAGTGCAAAGATGGATAGCTTATATAGAGGAAGAGAATGTATAGTTTTTATTCAGTGCATCCCTTCATAACTTTTTCTATGTCTGCGTACAAACAACTAATCAAATCATCATGAAAGATTATTAGCTTAGGATGATGAATTTAGCGGTTTGCGAACTACTAATTATTTTAATGGTGATTTACTTTAAATAAAAGTCATATATCCTAATTTTGAACTAGAACATGTATAAATAAAATAAATTAAAATATATAAAAAAAAAACTTTTATAACTTAAACATTAGGTGGATGTGATTCTTTAATATTAGAAACTATATTTTTATTGAATAATTTTTATTTTATAATCCTCTCATTTTATTTTAGTAGAGTTTGAGGGGTAATTGTGATTAAATTACCTTATTGAATGCCCCTTAAATGGTAAAAATTTGAGGTTGAAAACTTAAATTAGGGATGTGGATAGAGATTTGAGAGGAGAAGATTATTAATTAGATTACAAAATGAGATTATAAAAAATTAAGATATTTTAGTAATTAAAATATTAAAAATTTTAATAAAATTATTTAAATATATTTAATGAATAAATTTTAATAAAATTAAGAAGAAAGTATTTTAATAAATTTATATTATAAATTATACTTTTAATATATAGTCTATTTTATAATTTTTTTGTTATTATATTTTCTAGTTTTTAGTTTGTATATAAAATA